GCTTTACAATATGGGTACTTTTTTCCCATAGAAGACCCACTCCATCCTACCCACAGTTGAATCCATATGTTGCCATGGTCCCTAATCAGAGAGGGGGAACCTCAGATTTGGCCCACCAGGCCAGTCTGTAGTTAGGGAGCAAGGTCAAATGTTTGACTGATCCACAGCCAAGAGGATGTTTAAACTGGACTAAATTTTGAGGTAGGGGCTCAGCTGGATCCCAAATTACCAGCTAAATTCATTTCATGCCTCCTCTACTTTCCTTGTGGTAGAAGGTGAAGGAAAAGCCAGGCTTCCCACCGAGGTGTCTGTTGAAGAGGACACGAGAGGTCAGTGTGATGTTTCCTAACTAAAAATGCAGTGGTATACAGCAAACTTTGGCCTGGTGCAGGCAAAACAGTTTTGATATTATTAGGATTTTATTAGGCCAGCTCCTACAATAGAGAAGAGGATACAGCTTCTGGCAATGAAAATCCAAAGTATATGGAGAAACAGAGTTTCCTCAGAGTTTTCTTGGTTTAGACTGATGAGAACTATTTTTAAGATGCTGAGCACCTATGTATTGTAGTGTTTTATAAACAGCACCTCAGAGGATGAAGTTGCTTTGTCATTTGAAACAGTGAAGAATGTAATACGAATTATGTGACTCAATTTATTCCTGGTGCACATCATGTAATCCATGGATTGCATGTGGCCTCCAGGGGCATTTCTCTAGCTCCCAAAACCACCCAGAGCCCCCCTTGCACATTTTTGCCTTTTTCTGCTTCTGGCAGCCCCCTTTGGTATCCTTGAAGGGTCCCCTAAAGAAGTTTTTGAAGGTTATCTAAGGCTTACCAAACAGAGAGGGAGATGTTGGCTGGCTGGTTATTCAGTTAGACTAAAGGTGCCCATTTGCAGGCCCAGTGTAATCCATGAAGGGACAAAAATCTGGGGCCCCAGCTCCCAGAGATTACCCACCCTGCTTTATTCAGGCCTTCAATATCTATTTAAATGATTGTGATTCCATATATGCAGAGGTGAATAGACTTGTTCATTTGTGCTACAGTGGCCCTTGTATTAGCATCTTAGGTGGAAAACTATTGTCATGTTGTATACAATTCAGGCAAATTGAAAAGCATTACCACACATGTTTTTTCTCAAAGCTATTCTTAGAAGTATTTCTCTAAGAGTATTTCTTTGGATTTTCAAAAATTATACAACTCTATATTTATTTATTTTGCATGGGCAATAAGGCACAGGCATATGTTGACTGCCACTGGCCACTTTACCACAACATGTATGTAACCACTGTAACACAATTACAGATAAGAAGTCTCTTGCAGCCACACAACTTCCCTTCTGCATAAGGGCAGTTGTGGTTGCATGAGGAGCTTCTACCCATTCCTAACCCACTACAGTTGGTGTATCTTTTGAGTTTGGATTGCACTTTAAACTTGAAGCCTTCCAGCGCGTGGTAGGCGTGGTTCACTGCTGTACAGAGACTCTCCATCACAAATAGACCTAATTCTTCTTTTAAACTAATCATTTCAAGAAACTAATTCCCACACCACATTACTCCCCAAATGACACCCCCAAGTAAGACAATTTATTCAGCACCTAAAACTAAATTCAGATCTGTTATTATTAAAAAGAGCCATCCAAGATTCAGCAAAATCCCAAGGAAAATGCAATTATTGTAGAAAAAACATTTCTGCACCACTTGCATCAAGGGAATGCTAGTTTTTCTTCCAACAGAAACAACAGAGGTTCTTGTGGCACCTTAAAGACAAGCTGGTTTATTTGACATAGACTTTTGTGGATCTGAACTCAGCCTTATCATGTGTGGTATTTTGTGTGGGCTTTGTGCACATCTCTTCCCAGAACAGTGTTAAGTAGTATCACACAGTTGACAGACCGCTGCTTGTGTTTTGTATCTACTTTACCCTGACAAAATCACTGCCCTGATAAAATCTGGGAATAAAAGTAAAATAAATATCAGCCTGTATTGGGAAGATAATGCAATTGGTTAGATTCAGAATGAAACAGCACAGCATCTACATAAACGTGATTCTATGGAGTGCTCCTTTAACATTCCCCTACTCTCTTACATCCAAAGAAAACTAAGTATAGGATCAACCTAAACCATTAGTTGCTCCAGTTTCTGAATGTTATCAAGTCTACAAAGGTCTATATGTCTCACACAATTTTATAGATGAGTTTATTTCTGTTCCTTTCTCATCCCAAAGAAATGACTCCCTCTCTCATTAGCCTCTACATAGGTTCAGATGTTATACATTGTGGTAATTATTTCCAAATCACAAGTGCAAACACTCACCCTGATTGGAAAATTAGCAGATTTCAAACTCGGGTAATTTGTTCTTAATGAGGAACTTGTTGAACTGAATTTAACAATTAGCTTACTCCCTTTGCTGGCTGAGTATGACAGGATTATGTGGAAGAGATCAAACATTCATTCAAGTAATTCCAGGCAAAAAGGTTAGAATAAGAATGTAATCCTATAGAAGACTGTAATCCCAGGAGTAACTCTCATTGAATTGATTGGGAATTATTTCTGAACACCCATGCATAGGATCAGGTGCAATAAACCTCTAACTCTTTCTATGTGCCATTCTACTACTTTTCCATTTAAGGCTAAGATTTAGGAATCTGTGGAGTGATCTTTCTTCAGATACCTGCAAGGGACAGAATTGAGCCATAGTTGGCACACTTTTGTGTGTGTGACCCACTATAATAGCTGGTCAATAGCTTTTACAGGAATTTTAGCTCTACAAAAGCATGAAAAGCCTGTTTGATTTAAATGGGCCTACTCTAGTTGCCACTTACTATGTAAAAATAAGTTGTAACTAGATCAGGCCCATTTGAATCAACTGAATTTACAGAGGAGTTGAGTAACCAAATCATCACTGATTCAATGGGTCTACTTTAGTGTGACCTACTGCACTATGCAATAAGATTCCAGCCCATGTGTGGCAAATTTGGGCCTGGTGCAGACACAACATTCTCAGTCTAAAAAATTAGTATCTGTTAGGCCAGGAGTGTAGAATCCTTGATCTTCCATATGTCTTAGACTACAGCTCTCACAATCCCTTATCACTGGGTATGCATGCTTGGGTTTCTGGGAGTTGAAGTCCAAGGCCCAAATTCAATTGTTAGTCCCAGTCTGAGTAGACTCATTGAATCAATGAGTACATTAACAGCTGTATAAATTCTATTGATTCAATGGTTGCAATCTATTTGGGACTAACAATAAGATGTAAGTTTAAAACACCTAAAGGTCCAAATGATTTTCTGTTCTGTTTTAAATAAGGAATACGCATCATGTCTTTACGTTCTCCCATGCCTGTGTGATGTCCTTATCTTATGGATCATAATGCAGAACTTCCAGGATTTATTAAACCTTAGTTTAAGCACATGTTCAAGTTGTTGATAATCCTGTAATCAATTCTATGATTGCACCGTAGTTTCTTTGTCTGAAAATAATGGGAAATCCTAGAAGTCTTCACAGAACAGAAGATCTTCTTCACACAGATTCCTTTGCAGGTTAGGGTGTGTTTTCGAGTGGATGGCTCGCGATTAACTGACAGGGATGGGGACCCGAGTCGCAGGACTTGCTGTCAAGTTGGACTTGACTCACTCCGGTGACTTGACTCCAACTCAGCTTGGTTTTCCCCGCCAATGACTTTGGACTCAGCTCTTGACTCGGAATCCACCCACCCCTCCCTTTTTTTTTCCCTGTGGGAAAAAAGTTGTTTTTAACAGGGACTCCAACTTGAGACGTGATACCAAAGACTCAGACTCGGACCCAAAAACTTGCAGACATCCCTGTTAACTGAATATATGAATCAGATTTTAACTCCTGAGTGCAATAAAGCATTGGCAGTTTAATTTCCCCATTTTACTGCTCTGTATATGCAACCTGGGAGGGACAGTTTGTAGACTAAGAGGAAAGGACACTTTCCAGGTCCAAGTTTTGTCAAGGCATGACCCTTCTCCACTGACGAACTGCCTGTATGTATATTTCCTCTATTATCATAGACCTAGGGAGGTATATAAAAAAATGGACATTGGTCTCAGAAGTTACAAACAGTGGCAGTATGCATGTCATTCAGTTGTTTAGCTCACTGTCCTGTTTCCCTTTGAAGCATGGATGTTACCAAAGAAATGAGTGCTTATCTCCTTGCTCTTTCTTTTTGCCTTTCCATCATTGCCATGTCTTCTTCTGGCTTTTGTATCCAACATTAGTCATAATCCATTCTATAAGCTACCATAATTATACATATCTATGGGATCACTCTCAAGTCAGACTTATGGCAACCCTTTTCAGGGTTTTCTAGATAGGATGTACTCAGAAGTGATTTACCTTTCCCTTCTTCCGGGGGCATCCTGAGACTGTGCAGCTTACCCGAGACCACACAAGCTGGCTCTTCTGGGACGCACAAAGGTAAACTGAACTCCTAACCTCTGGCTCTGCAACCAGATACCTAACTCACTAAGCTATCACCCAGCTTAACAATTGTTGGGTGCACTATTTTTAATTTTTTTATTTATTTGTAACTATCATAGAGAACTGTATTTTAAATTTTTTTCTAACACAACAGCCTGCAATTTGAAATGAAAGTTTGCAAAATGTATGATATGATATATTAGGCATCCTTCAGTCTCGAGAGACTATGGTAACATGCTCTGAATGGAGGACTTAGAACAGTGTCTAGTGTGGCTGAGGAGGCCAATTCGAGAGTGACAATCCGTTCCACACTGAGGACAAATACAGTGTGTCTCCCGTCCAGCTCCCTGATTTTGCTGCTTTCGTGACTGCCTGTCTGCCTTGGCCTGCTGAGCAAATGTCTCTTCAAAATGGGAGAGGCCGTGATGCACCGCCTGCCTCCAGGCTGAACGCTCAGACGTCAAGGTTTCCCATCTGTTGAGGTCCATTCCGTAGGCCTTCAGATCCCGCTTGCAGGTATCCTTGTATTGCAGCTGTGGTCTCCCTCTGGGGCGATTTCCCTGGACTAATTCTCCATACAGGAGATCTTTGGGAATCCGACCATCAGCCATTCTCAGAACATGATATGATAACAAAAGTACATAAATATTATGAAAGTTGTGTCAAAATTAACTCCTGTTACTGCATCTAAGACTGTCTTCATTTTAAGAGTTGATCTACTTCTCATGCTAATATTTACTGTACATTTAACAGAAATTAGGTTTGCCTCTAAATGGTACTAGACAAATAAGAAAAAGCAGTATTGAAAATTGGTTAAAGTTGTCATTAAGCTTTCCTTCTACTAGTTCTATCAGCCACAGTTGAGTTCCTTCACTACCAAATGGTACCTTTCAACCACTATGGCACTGTAACAGTTTAACTCCTGACATCCATCTTTTAGCCCTGAATGCCTGGTCCATGTGAATTTATTCTGTTTCTATCAGGAATGATCTTTGTATTGCCATGTTATGAAAAACCAGAAGGAAGTCTCTGAAAGACAGCAAATGCCTTGGTGAGAATCTTAACAGAGAAAGAGGCAGCATCTTGGTTTATGGACTATCAACATATAAATGGGTGGGACTTCGTTTCCAAAAACATTGCTCCTTACTCCAGTCTTATTCTGTTTGCTATCCTTAGGTTTCCTGGTCTGAGCCGAGTGGAAGCTCCAGATCATCATATCTTTTCCTGTAGACAACTCGTGAGAACAAAGTTATGAGAAACATTTCCAATATGAGCAGCTGCTGGTTTATATCTGGGAAATAAAAACAGGAATAGATTTAAAGTTCACCATAGTGAACTCAGATTTGCTAAATTGTTGGAATCGACAATGTTTATATAACTCAGCTAAGAAATTCCCAACACTGGACTTTTATGGCAGACCTGCAAAAATTAAGTAAATACTTTGCTCTAGAGATAGGCATGAATCACTTTGTTTTGTATTATCTCAACGTTGTTGGCACAGCATAATTCCCTTCTCCCACCCCCCAGCCAGCTCCTGCACTCACCAGCAGGCGAGCACTGCTTTTCTCCTGCTTTTCACTGACTGCCCAGTTGCAGCAGGAGTGTCTGCTTTCCTCCACCTCCTCCAGCAGCCGCCCACTCAGAGAAGGAGGTGGGGCACGGATCAGTAAGATGCAGACAGGACTACCCTGAGGACAGTTTGGTTCACTCCAGCAATCATCACATTGTGTGACTGCTGGAAAAAAAGAGCAAACCAAACTGTCCCTGCAGCATACTAGACAGCAGGACAAATGCCCATCTGATTGATCCCTGAGATACCAGCTTGGGGGCAAAGGAGGCTCTAGTGGAGACAACACAGAAAGAAGAAACCCCAATACTTGGCTTTGGGGTGGTTGTTCTTTCACGTTAATACCTTCCTTAGTGGCACACTAAGGATTGGTGACTAGGATTTTAGGCATTAAAACATCCCTATGGCTGTCTGAGGAGTGTGTAGGCGAAGTAGTGGAAAAATTAGTGGACAGGTCAGTACCTCCTCAGGCCAGAACATTACAACAGTTACTGGCCCATGCCCCATGGGACTTAATAATTATTATACTGTAGTTGTGATTTTTGAAAAGGTAGCACTTCACTTGCCATTTCTCAAAAGTAACTAAGGTTGGTTTTAAAACCATCTGAATGCTTCAATGCATTTCCATGCCAAAACACACACACTATCATCTCCTCAATGCCCATGACATAGCATAAGGCATAAGTATAAAATAAAATCAATAAAAATAAGCCACAATTGTAATGTAACTTAGTTATGCGTTGTTTGTTGGAAAAATGCATTAATTGAAGATTAATTGGGTGTCGGGTTTTTTTCCGGGGTGGGAGAGCAACTTGTTAGCTTCTGTAATCATAGTAATGACTTACAAACCCTGGCTGTAAGATACCCTAAACTGGCCTCTTTGAAAAACAGAATGAAGATGTAAAATAAATAACCATTAAGAATTCAAGTGTTACCTCATGCATCAAATACCATAATCTTAAACACATTTATCTAGAAGTAAGTTCCATTTGTGCCATCATGGGAATTACTTCCAAATAAGTATGCTTGAGACTACAGACTGAGGCTGTTTTCATACAAAGGACTTAAAACTGTGTTTGAGCTTCTCTCAAGCTATTTATATGAACTGCTGATTGCTATAAAGATGATATTAAAAAGTGAAATGGAGGCACTTGTAATTCAAATGAGCAATCTGGCCAGTGTAAGTTATACATTTCCATTACAAAACAAGTGAAGCAAACTAAATGTGAAAACATCTTTTACAGTACAATCCTGTGCATGCTTACAAGGAAATAAACGGCACTGAATTCTGTAAAGCAGCATAGCAACTGCATCAACAGACCAGAGAGTGGAAAATCTATGACTGGTTCTTTTGCAAGTCTACTGTTGGGGAGAGAGTAGGGATGCTGACCAATGGGAGGCTTCACCTGTTCACCCTGTGCCCCTTTTCTAATTTTAATAACCCTTCTCACTTGTCATTCAAGGTGGCATTGCAGATTGGACTACAAAATGGCAGAATGCTTTGTAAACCACCCAGAGTGGCCTTGGTAGCCAGATGGATGGTATAAAAATTGAATGAATGAATGAATGAATGAATGAATGAATGAATGAATGAAAACAAACAAACAAACTCTCCTCCACTGTCACAGTTAAACAAACAGAAGGTTCTTGCCATTCTATTTATCTTTTCCAAATTTACCTCTCTTCAGTTCTGCAACTACAACAGGCGATATCCACTACCTAAGCTTCCACTATCCAATCTAGCTTGGCCATTGTGCTACAGTCCTATCCCCACTGAACCTGGCAGGACATACTTTTGAGAAGACACCAGTAAGACTGCAGTGTTAGCCTGCAGGATTATCTACAGCAGAGAGGAAGTCCCATTGGTTGCTGAGTCTGGGTGGACAAGTACATGCTTGCTTCACGGAGTGGATCACTCTTTGCTGGAGATATTTAAAAAGAGACCAGGTGGCCATTTCTCAAGGATGTTTTTAGCTGAGGACAGATTACTCTCCAAGACCCTCCCAAATTTTCAGTTCTATACTTGTACTGTTTAATATACTTTAGATGATAGCCAACCACAAAAGCATCGACAGGGATTTGGGGGAGGAGGGGGGTGGAAATGGCATGGTAAAATAATGTGTATACATCACTATAACAAAATGCATGTATCTGTACACATGAGAGAAAAATCTGTGTAAAGTTGGGGAGAGGGGAAAGCATCCCCTTGCATTATGAGAGAAAAATCTGTGTAAAATTGGGGAGAGGGGAAAGCATCCCCTTGCATTGCCCCACAGACACCCATGGCCAGCCCATGAGCATTCCAGAAGGAACTGCACACTTTTGGTTTGGTTTGGTTTGACCCCTACTTAGCATGGAATGTTCTGATCAGTGGCCATTACAAGTGAAGACACCAGAGCAGCTGCTTCAGTTCGTCAAAAACCATTGAAATAGCAAGTGACTTACAAGCTCCTCTTGCTGAAGATGAAAGTGGGGGTGCACAAGCAATTACCCTTTGCGTAGCCAGAATGTTAATGATTGCTGATTGGAGCTGAGTCAGAATAAGGATAAACTGCAGTAAGAAAAAGAGAAGACAAGAATCATATTAAATAAGAGGCCATTTTGTTTCAAAATAAGAGGCCATTTTGTTTCAAAGTGAAAAGAAAGGGGCAAGTCCTCTTTGGGGGAATGACTCAAAAGAGTTACACCTTTGGAGTAGGTTCCTTGGAAAATCTTACGCTTAAGAAGAATTGAACAATCATAGGATGATGCTCTAGGACCCTGAGAAGCCTATGGGTTCTACCTCCACTTCATAATGGATAGCATCAATGTAACATATTCATTCCTGTTAAACATAACTTTCCAAACTCTGTTTCTGGAGGTGACACAATTAGGGTGCCACTCTGCTTGGCCCATACTGGGCAAGGAACTGATGTGGGGGGGTATTTATTTATTTATTTATTTGGCTTTTACCCCACCCATCTAGATTCAAACGAATCTACTCTGGGCAGCTTACAGTCCAAGCAATATAAAACAAGAATTAAAACAGACAATATCCAAACAAAAAAGAAAAGTAAGCAAAGTCCAAGATGGGAAAACACAGGTAAATAAGTTGGGGGGGGGGAAGGCCTGCCTGAAGAACCAAGTCTTCAGCTTGTTTTAAAAAACTCTCACCGAGGGTGCCACACAAATCTCAGGAGGCAAGATGTTCCAGAGGTGAGGGACCACTGCCAAGAAGGCCCAGTTTCTAGTTCTCTCCTTCCGGGCCTCTCTCGGGGTCAAGCTCCTCAGCCACCTGGCCTGGCTAGGTTGAGTGACACAAGTAGAGCTAGGTGGTAGCAGGCGCTCTGCTATGTATCGAGGTCCTAAACCATTTAGGGCATTATATGTAAGCATTAATACCTTGAAGTCAATGTGGAAACGAATGGGCAATCAGTGTAAGGCTGCCAGAGTGGGGGAAATGTGATGGTATTTTTTCACCCCAGTTAATAGTCTGATCGCCATGTTCTGGACCATTTGTAGTTTTCTCATCAATCTCAAGAGTAGCCCGACGTAGAGTGCATGACAGTAGTCTAATCTCGAGATTATGAGCGCATGGACCATAGTGGTGAGCACCCCAACATCAAGATAGGAGCGCAGCTGGGCAATCCGCCGAAGATGTAGATGGGCAGTATAGACCAAAGATGCCATTTGGGACTCCATGGTAAGTGCTGGGTCAAGATGGACTCCCAAGCTGCGGACCACACTCTTAGTGGAGGGAGTCACCCCCCCTAAAAAAAGAGAGGGAGCTTCCCAAACCACTGATAGGAGGGGCGTCCACCCTCAAGACCTCAGTCTTGTCCGTGTTCAGCCTCAGTCCACTCTCATGCATCCACTGCTGAACAGCCCACAGGCAGCGCTCAAGGGATGCAACGGCATTCACCGCTGTTGGAAAAAAGGAGATGTAGAACTGAGTTTCATCAGCATATTGATGACACAAAGCCCCACACCCCCGGGTGACCCCTCCCGGCGGCTTCTTGTAGATATTAAAGAGCATTAGAGAGATGATCAAGCCCTGCAGCACCCCACAATTGAGGAGCCATGGGGCCAATACATTCCCTCCAAGCTGGATTCTCTGAAATATGGTCCTCTAAGAAGGACCAGAGCCAGGCAAGAGCCAGACCACCAATTCCCAACTCAGAGAGACTCCCCAGGAGGATATCGTGTTCGATGGTATCAAAGGCAGCTGACATGTCGAGGAGAACCAACAAGGACATTTTGCTCTTCTTGGCCTCCCTCAATACATCATCTAGCAGGCAGACCAATGCTGTTTCTGTACCGTGGCGCGGCCTGAAGCCTGATTGAAATGGACCCAGGGCATTGGTTTCATCGATTATATATGTTTAGGCTACTTACTCCTGGTACAGACTGGAAGTATCTATGGAGAAAAAGAGCTGGCTACATAGCTCAGCTAGTTGGAGCATTTGGCAGAGTGAGAGTCAAAAATTCCTTACTGTGCCTTATAGTATTTTTTTTTCATTTTTATTTTTAACAAGGGGGTGACAAAAAGGAAAAGTGGAATTGAGGTTAATGGGGAAGAGGAGAAACAATAACATACTAACGTCCATTCTATACCTATTGCCATATCAAGATTCCAAGTTACTCTATTTACTCTTTTCTGCCTTCCAGGTTTAAATGCTCGTTTCAATATATGCTATTCATGCGCTGCCTGTCGATTCAGTCCACTTGTAGAATAAGTCCCATCTTTCTGTTGCCTTTTGTAAAGGACAGTCCTTCATCACTTCTGATAAAATATCCATTTCCACTGTTTCCCGTATCTTCTCTATGAAATCTTTTTGTTTTGGTACCGTCAGACTTTTCCAATTTTTGGCATAGAGAATTCTGGCTGCAGTAACTATGTATATAACTATATATTCCTTTGACTTATCTATGTTATCAGGTATCATAATAAAAACAGTTCTGGGGTTAATGGCACCTTACAGAGCAATATTTGTTGCAGCATAGCATGTACTCTTTTCCAATACCGTTTCGCTACTCTACATGACCACCACATATGATATGTGGTGCTTCACTTTTCCAACACAGATTTGATACATCTGTATACATCTTCGACAGTTTTTCTGGAGTCATATGCCACCTATAAAACATCTTGTATATATTATCCTTAAAATTAACCGCTCTTGTAAGCTTTATATTACTTTGCCATATTTTCAACCATTGATCAATATCAATATTATGCCCTATGTTTTGTGCCCACTTGGTCATACATTCTTTAACCATTTCATCTTGCATTTTAATTTAATTATCCCAATAAAATTAATGTCCTGTTTTTGGAGTAATGCATATCTATCTGATCTGTGGCCATAAATTTCTGCCCCCAACTTCGCCCATTCCTTCCCCTCATCCCCCCAACCCCCTCTTCCTCCTTTTTCATTCCATTCAGCTTTCTGATGAGAAGAGTCTCTCTCTTTGGTAATGCCGTGATGCATTCAATGGTTTGTCCAGTTGATTTGTCCTTCCTCTCAATCTTAACATATGATCCAAGAAGTGTTGCCTTAATATCTCCCTTAGCTTCCGAGATTTGGGCCTTGATTTGATTAATAATGTTCAACTGAATTTCCTGAATACAGATCTTGAAGTAATCCTCCATTGTGGGTTTAAATAGTAAGACTCAGTCTATCTCCTTCTTTCCCAGTCATAGCCATAAAAGTCAAGCAAGTTAATTACTCAGATTACTCTCATGATTTATTAGCCAGCCCGAACTCATACTCCTGCGAAGACCACTCCAATTATAAATCCAGCCGTAATAAAGATGTTGTTTAGTTTGTAATCCATCATTGTAGCTCAATGCAGAGTCACTTAGGATTAATTTGATCAGAGTTATTTAAAGTACTCAAGTCTCTAAATTATAAAAAGCCAATTTTCCCATTCATTGGGGTAGAGAGGTTGAGAGAGAGCAGTCAAGAATTAGCTTCATTTTCCATTCTTCCTAGCTGTGACACAGTAAAAAAATTCCAGCGTTTCAGGGTTACCAAAGTTCTTGCCGCCTTAAGATCTTTCTCCTTAATATCAGCCTCCAAGAGAAAAGTCAGATCTATTACTTCTTGTAGCTAAATAGCAGATTCACTTAATCTCTGTTCCATCAGATTGTAAATCTTCACGCCTCCCCTCTGTCCCGGCAGCTACTCATCATCATCATCATGGTGACTTAATGAGACAGTTGCATGTAGGAAGGAAAACTCATTCCGAAAGCCAGATTGCCATCTGAAATTTGGCGTTTCCAAGCCCCACTTGCTGCAAGTCCACTCTCCCGTGGAAAACTTGCCCCTCTTCTCCTGGGGGGGGTCTCCGCTGACTCAGATTAAAACCCAGGGGATCCCAGAGCCCTGGGAATTCCCCTGTTCTCGCTGCCCGTTGGAATTAGTTATTTATAAAAGCACCTTGCTACTGTTACTTTTTATTTATCTGACCGCCGAAGAATTGATGCTTTTGAATTGTGGTGCTGGAGGAGACTCTTGAGAGTCCCCTGGACTGCAAGGAGAACAAACCTATCCATTCTAAAGGAAATCAACCCTGAGTGCTCACTGGAAGGACAGATCCTGAAGCTGAGGCTCCAATACTTTGACCATCTCATGAGAAGAGAAGACTCCTTGGAAACGACCTTGATGTTAGGAAAGTGTGAAGGCAAGAGGAGAAGGGGATGACAGAGGATGAGATGGTTGGACAGTATCATCGAAGCAACCAACATGAATTTGACCAAACTCTGGGAGGCAGTGGAAGCTAGGAGGGCCTGGCGTGCTCTGGTCCATGGGGTCACGAAGAGTCGGACACGACTAAACGACTAAATGATAACAAAGCCGCCCAGAGACCTTTGGGTAGTGTGGGTGGCATATAAGTTAGATAAATAAATAAATAAAGTAGAAGCAACACTGAGTTGGATGATTATATCAATGGCATATACTGTTGAGCATTCAGTTCCCACAGAGACCAATCAGCTGCTATGAGAATCCCCACAAACAGGAGATGAAGGGGATACCATCCTCCTGCTCAAGCTTGCTAGGGACCTGTATATGGCCACACCACTGGAGAAAATAAATTTCCATAATCACTAGTAGCAATTCATAAACGTTATCCAATCCTCTTTTAAAGTTGCCTAAACTAGTGGGCAATAAAGAAAGCTGACATGTAAAGAATTGATTTGTTTACAATATGGTGCTAGAGGAGAGCTTTGTGGCTACCTTGGACTGACAGAAAGATGATCAAGTGGGTTCTAGAGCAAATCATGCCTAAACTATAAGAGATGGATTGACTCCATAAAGGATGCCACAGACTTGAGTTTGCAAGAGCTGAGCAGGGCAGTTGAGGACAGGGCGTTTTGGAGATCACTCATTCATAATGTCACCATAAATTAGAGGCAACGTGATGGCATGTAACAACAACGAACTAGTGAACATCATGATCCCCTGAGAAAGGGCAAAAAGATAGTCAGGATATATTTACATCCCATTATTTTTAATAAGAGCAAGATCCATCTGATTTATAGGGTTATCTAACATCATAATTACTGAGTTTGGTATCCTCTTGACCAGTGGCTCCTAACCTTGGGCCCCCACATGTTCTTGAACTACCCCCAGAAGCCTTCAGCACTAGCTGTATTGGCCAATATTTCTGGGAGCTGTAGCCCAAGAACATCCAGGAATTCACGGTTGGGAACCACTGGTCTAGATCACAGCAGTGATGATAACTGCCAGCCAGCATGGCCAAAGGCCAAGAATGATTGCTGTTATACTCTGTTACAACTGGAGGGTTCCACTTTAGGAGAGGCTGCCCTATATGTACAGTGAGGTCTTCATTTGAGAACTTAATCCGTATTGGAAGGCGGTTCTCAAGTCAAAAAGTCTGTAAGTCAAGTCTCCATTGACTTACAGTGCATTGAAAACCGATTAATCCCGTAACAGGCTGTTTTTGTTCCATTTTGGTTTTTTTCTGGTCTGTAAGTCAAATCTCAGTCTGCAAGTCAAACCTAAATTTTGCGGCCAGAGAAGTCTGTAACTCAAAAAGTCTGTAAGTCAAGCCATCTGTAAGTCAAGGGTCCACTGTACTTATTTGGGTGTGTACCCCATTGAATTCAATAAGAGTTATTTCTGAGTAGATGTGCTTAGGACTGCACTGTTAGCCCAAAGCCAATATTATGTGGGGAGTGGACCAATGAATAAATAAATAATAACAACTTGCATAAAATAACTTATTTACTACTAAAAAATTTTAAGAATCTACTAAAATAATTTAAGAATCTTGTTGTGGCTAACATATATCATATCCTTTAGAGCAGTGGTCCCCAACCTTTTGGGGCTGCAGACCGGTTGGGAGGAGCAAGTTCCATGTGCAGGGGGGGGCGTGTCACACCTGCGGGGGGGTGTCGCACTCACACACTCGCAGCACCGGGCCACAGACCCGGGATTGATGACCCCTGCTTTAGAGGCTCACCCTTGAATGTGAACATTATATTGCCACAAGACATATCATACCCCACAAAACTTTTGTCATGTCAATGAAAAGGAACCCCGCCGAATGTGCTATATTTAGTAAAGATTTCATAGACTGTGAACATTCCATGCTCTATTGCCACCCCATCATTTAAGAAACATTTTTTTACTTAATTAAGGTCTTAAAAGGTGGTGGTGGGGGAATCTTCTAATCAATGGGCTTTATCTAACACCATGCAAGTAGCTAAGCTTCTTTTTGTGCACTTGTCCCACAAAACGTAACCCAGAGAGTACCTCAAATCCGCTCCCAAACATTGTTCCAGGAACTTGTCCACCCTTCCATAGGAAATTTGTGTGTGTGTGTGCAAGAGAAGAGTAAATGAGCAATGCCCATTCTACTGATGGACCTACTGGTGCCCTCTGACTCCTCTTTTCCACAGTAAAGTCTTGATTTTCTCACCTGATAAAGTGCAAATTTAGGAATAATCTTCTTGCAGTTAAGGAGAGCCCGAACTTGTTGAAACATAATTCCAACTGGCCACAGGGCAATGATTGTAAGGACTGCAATGAAGCAGTTAATCCATATGGCAGCTCCAGTGAGAGATAACTGAAACGGAAGTTAAATAGATACACAGATTGCAGCCTGTTACATATTGTCTTCTGCTTTCAGACAACTGTCATTCACATGGGGATACATATATATATATTCTTTTAAATCTAAGTAATTCTTAGCAGTCTCTCTTGTCAAGCTCTATGTGAAGATGCCAAAGAAGCAGCTGTGTTAGTCTGTTTCAGTAAGTTGGCAAAATTAAAAGGGGGTAAGGGGGAGACAAAATATTGTGGCACCTTAAGTGTGAGCGTTTCTAGATCTTCTTTTGAGTCGGCTGTACAACTGTCATTTTAATGTGATGAATCAGGTGCTAGTCCTGAATGCTGTCAAACACAGTAAGCTTCAGAAGCTTTTGTTCTGAAGCAAAAGCTTAGTACTGGTGACTGCTTAATTGACTGGTCTGAAAGTGGACTTTAAAAGTTTATCATACCATAGTTTAAAACCATATGTGACTAGAGATTAGGTGGAAATAAGGGAATAGAGTATGGATGGGAAGAGGAAGGTGGTGATCCCTGTTATGGAATCATTTTGACATGTGAACTGTGATGTGTTTTGCAAAATTCCTATTCTGAATTTTGATGCTGTGTACTTTTAGACTGTTAAGAACATTTAAAAAAACTATTTAAGAAATGTAGTAGTCTGAAGTTTTAAACAAGAAAGCAACAACTGTAAAAGGATCAGCAGAAGTGGGACCAGAGGAAGAAAGGATTGGCAGAAGGAGGACCAGAGGAAGAAAGGAAAGTGGGGATGTTGGCTGGAATTTAACTAGCTTTGCATCCAGTATGATGATTAAGTTATACAGAGCTGAAATGCTTACTTAAGAGTGTCTAATGCCTTTGTTTTCCAAGCCAATGGTGATTTATGATTACATTCTAATTGTCATGTTTAGTTTAAAGCTGTTGACTACTCAGATCTTTGCTATTATGCTCTGTTGATGTTTGGTAAGTATGTCAAATGTTCACTTACATCAGAAAGATTGTAGTTTCCATTTGTCCAAAGCACTATTGACAGAAACATTAGCACAGGGCGGAGGAAAGCAAATTGGAAGGTCCCCAGCTTCAGTAAAAAGAGGGTTCGCCTGTCAAATGGACCAAGTGGAGGTTGATTATAAACCCCTATTAAAAAATTTGTCAAAAGCTGAGGTAACCATCTTGAATTACTGACATCTATAGAGATTTTGCCATAGCAGTAGAAAGGGGATGGAAATTACAAAGCATAATATGCAATTTCTTGAAATATGCTGAGTCAAATTTTGTGCATGTAGAATGGGTACACCATAATTAACTGAATTTACACATGGTGTGGAAATTCAGCCAGAAGTATCCATTATTGTACTGTTCTTAGTAAGGCAGTAAAGTTATTGTCTAGCATTTTGACTGATGTGTTTTCTAAAGATCTACTCAGCCTAAACAAGGTAGGGAAATGTGTAAGTCAGTCATGGAGCAGTGTACACAGGCTCTCTTTATGAGCATGAGTGCCCCCTCATTCCATCATTAATACAGAAGCAGGTCATGTAAACGGTCTGTGGGTCACACACACTCCTTTTCTGAAGATCAAACATGATCCACAAATGGTACTTCAAGTGCCCAAAGTAAGCAGGGGAGCTGAAATAGCAATAAAACTGAGAAACATTTCATGTAGGGTGGAGAAGAAACAAATGTCCATGGCTTTGGATCTCCAGGAAGGGCAGAACACCAGATGGGGGGAGGCTGGTGGTCTGCTGGCCACAATGATCAGTCTACCTTAATGCCAACTTATGTCTAGCTGTCTTTTAATGACCTCATTGACCAAAATGCTTTGCTCAAAATGAGGCATTTAAGCTCGGGCAGCTGCTTTTGATAGCAGTTGGGGCTTTGCAGATTGCACATACTATATACCCCATTTCTTCCAAACCTGGAATATCAGGCTTAAAAACTCATCTGTGTATGTTGGCAGTTAGAACTGGGGAAATTAATTTGTTAATGCTGGAGAGGGTAGAATTTAATTCATTATCTTATCCTCAATTAATCTGCTAAATAAATTTTTAGTTTTTAATGGCTAAAAAAGTAGTGGCTAAAATCCTTCTGATATTTCTATGCATGTCAAGCCAACTGGCTGTAAAAGGGTTTGGGTGTTTGATTCCCCATTATACTTCGCAGGAGAAGGGCCAATCTTGGACAAGCTGCACAGTTCTAGAGTGCCCCCTAGAAGAAGGGAATGGTGACCCACTTCTAAATCTTCTCTACCTAAGAAACTCTGGAAAAAGTCACCATAAATCAGACTCAACTTTCAGCATGTACTTCTTCTGACAGCCAGTATGGTATAGTGGATAGAATGGCAAATCTGGTATATCTTGATATATCTTGATGCCCTAGAGCAAATTTTGACAGTGAGGGCCACACCAGATATTTTTAACATTTTTGAGGGCCAAAGGAACAGGAACGTGCGTGTGGGTGTATGCGTGGCTGCACGCATGCACACCCCCACTCACCCCCACAAACATGGATGCTCACCATGCCCATTCACCCGCCCACCCGCCTGCGCACATGTGCTCCCGGGCTGAACAGAACAGTCTGGGTAAAATAGCAAGGCAGGCCAGATGTGGCCCATAGGCCATAGTTGGGAGACCCCTGCCTTAGAGGTCAACTCAGTCAGTTTGGGTGCATGAGGACTGACACTGTTAAGTGAGTGTGTATGAAACAGCCAGCATTTTACAATGTGATCAATAGTCTCTGTGCCCTGTTTCTTCCAATTCAGAAGGTTTACAGTAGTTTTTAACAGTACTGAATGAGAAGAGGTCTACTGTCTACCATCTTCACTCACCAGCACCTCCCTGAAAATCTCTGTACCCTGTGCCCTGTTGTAGCAACCTGCTCAGCACTCACACTTACGTTTTCGTTTCCGCTCTTTATTTAGATCTCCAACATCCTTTGCATTGCACTGCAGACGCTCTTGTTAATGAAGGCAAGCTGCTATTTAATGTACTCTGTGCTATATTAATGAACTTTGGCTTAATATAATTGCTCAATTAATACAGCCATAATTGCATTATAATGATATAATTATAGTGGCAATTTTACTCCTGCAAATAATTACAGAACTATAAACAGTACAAACGAGTGTACAAATGAGCCGGCAGATTACCTTACCTTGCTGTCTGAAGGAAACTAAAGAACTGTTCAAAATCAAGAACATAGCAAGCTGCTGACAGCACCATAAGATCATGCTTCTGTAACTTCTCTACTCTGTGAGGGCCAGAAGAGTCAAGGCACTGAAAGATGTGTGACTGCATCTTCCATGAATTTGCTTACATTTTGATTTCAAAACAGGGCTGTGGAGGAGGTAATAGTGCTACAAAAGGGTATGTTTGGGTGTTTCCTCCCATGCTCTTTTCACAATGTAAAGGCTAAACTGAAAGGGACCCACAGTGCCATGGTAGAGAACATACATAGCATATTGATGGTCTCAGGTTCAATCTTTGGCAATTCCCATAAAAATATCAGATACAAAATGATATGAAATACAACTACCTGAGTCTTTGGAGAGCTAGTGCCAGTTGGGATGAATAAAAACATTAGGCTTGATATTAAAAAATAGTCTGACCCGGAAAAAGACAGATTCTTGACTTATCGTGAATATAATAATGATTACTTGTTATTACCTCCATTCTGACTTACAGCAACTTCCCCCAGTCCTAGGATTTTCTACATACAGTGGGGTCTCTGCTTAAGAACGCCCCTACTTAAGAACAATCCAACTTAAGAACAGCTCCATTTGCTAAATTTTGCTTCTACTTGAGAACAGAAATCCAAGATAAGAACAGGAAAAAAAACCTTTCCTGCTCTTTTTTTAACCTTAGGTCATCTTAGGTTAAAAAAAAAATCTCCCCCTAGTGGTAGAGTCCGTATTAACCAGCTTTGCATCAGTTCCTATGGGAACGAATGCTTCAATGTACGAATGTATCTCTACATGAAAAAAAAAAAAAACAGCCAGAACGGATTAATTGGTTTTCAGTCCATTTCTATGGGAAATTTTGCTTCAACTTAAGAACGTTTCAACTTAAGAACACCATTCCAAAACGGATTAAGTTCTTAAGTAGAGGTTCCACTGTAGTTTCCATGGATGGAAAAGAGCAGATACGGATTAAATGTTTTTCAATGCATTCCTATGGGAAATGCAGATTCAACATAAGAACTTTTCAACTTGAGAACCACCTTCCAATACGGATTAAGTTCTTAAGTAGAGACCCCACTGTATAGGGTACTCAGAATTGGTTGATCATTCCCTTCTCCTGGGACATCCTGGGAATTTGCCCAAGCCAGCTCTTCTCCTGGCAGCCACAGTGGGGAACCATCTCCCAATCTCCTCCTGGGACCTTATCTAGCCAGCCTTGCTACAAAAATCTTTCTTTATTGACAAAATGTATATACCATGCTAATATGATGTTATCTCAGGGTGTAATACATCAAAAGAAGTTTAAAATGCAGGGAGATAAGAAGGGTAGGGCAACCCAGAGCATCCCATTTAGAAGGCATGACCTTTCCCCCAGACTTCCATGACTGGCCCAGCAGCCTGGTCTACCATCACAGGAAATGGCAGTGGTAGACCAGGTCTTTGGCCCAGATGGCTGGTTTTCTGTAGCCCATGCCACTGCTAGACCAGGCCACTAGGGAACAGGAAAGGCCCTACTGGGGCAGCCAGCACAGGTCTACCCAAGGCTTTATAGATATGGCCTCAGGCCTGGACACAGAAGAGGAGACATTCAGAAGAATGGCTAGTCAAACAAGGTGGTGCTAGACCAGGTCTCCCTTATTGGAGCTTGTCTACTGAGGCCTTGGATAACCAAAATGTTTTTGATTTGTTTGTGTAGTTCTGACAGTGCAACTCATTCCCAGTGGATAGATACTGGTAGGGAAGATACTGGCAAGGTGTTTGGTGCTCTACTTCTCATGTTATTTCCATGCCATGAATTGTAAAGTTGATTTGCAAGCACATTATGCACTGCTTGCCCTGATAGTTAGTTGTTCTTTGTGGCTCTGTTAAAACAGCTGAAAACCATTCAAAATGTATCTACAGGCTTTAAAAAATGAAAACTGCATAAAATATTTGTAACAATTTAAGACCACATAAAACTATATATGGAAAAACATACACAATGCAAATTAGTTAGTGTTTTACCTGTTATCAGGCTCACATTTTGACCCAAAGACATGATATGCAAATTGGGAAGTATTTGGAGGAGACATAACAGTATAAGCATCACACACTATATTGAGACAGCACAGTACACAAGATTTCTCATGCCACAATCCCCCTCTGCTCTGGAAGGTTAAATTCAAGCATTAAAATACAGCAGTTGGTCTTTAAGGTGCCACAATGTTTTTGTCTTCTTAATTTTTTATTTTTCTTTTGTTTTGCCTGATAAATTAAATTGAAAGACACTGAGCTAAATTTAGAACCTTCCCTTTCTCTAAAATAACACCTTGATTATCGCAATCCCTTTCCAGATTCAATGTTCTGCTTTGATTTCCAAGTGACATGCAGGCTTTGGCAAACACAGAGGAGATCTTGAATTAGGAATCAGTCACTTAATCCAAGCATTTCTTTCCACAGGCTTGCCTTCTTTACATAGAAATCTCAAAATTAAACAACAAGCAGGTGCACTTGGAAAAATGGTAGGATGTGCCACAGGGATGTAGTGTGTATAAGATAGATCCACTGTTTGTAGAAAGCTTTAGGAAATTAATGTAAACATTAGAGTCTAATATTTGCCACACTGGGACATTCAGCATGCATAACTAAGACTGACAGATCTCACAGTGCTGGCTGCACTCTCAGGAAACTGCTAGCCTTCCCTGTGTCTCCAAGCAGTGCTACAAATCTCAGGGAGAACAGGGCTGACAGAGGGCAACATTTCATTTTATTGTGTGTTGTAGCTTTAATGCCTGGGCATCCATTTCCTCCCCACTCCCAATGGGCACCAGGGCACACTGGCTCAGCACAGCAATGTTGGCCTATTTGTTTCATGTATAACAACAAAAATGCTGTTGTATAGTTATGCCAATGGAAGGGAAATGGCAGCACTCAAATTCCCCTTAATCAACATATTCTTGTTTGGGTTCCTCACTGCACACCAGTCCACCAGCATAACTATGCAACAGGATTTTATCCTATTTTTTTCAGGAGGTAGTGTGAGAAATTTGCATTGCCAGTCTCAGTTTCCTATGACTTGACTCCTGTGACTCAACATGTCTAGGTAAACAGATTAACCTCTGATTTCTCTCATGTAGCCCCTTGAACTGGTTGATTTTAAAGGGAAACTCACTTGTTAATACGTATATGTGGAAGGCAGAGGCAGTAGCAACAGCAAGGCCCTGTGCTTATCTTGAAGGAGTCATTCTCAAAACGTCTGAGGAATAGTTTTTGACCTCCACACTCTTTAATCATCATGAGCAGGAACTTGTGGATAACTATTGCAAAAAAACTAGCCAAAACAAGAGAACCGTATGTTAAAATGTTAAAACATGGTATAAATTTTTTAAATTTAAAGAGGGGCAAATAAATGGATGGATGGATGGATGGATGGATGGATGGATGGATGGATGGATGGATGGATGGATGGATGATTCGTGTTTGCCACCAGCAATGGGGGTTGTTTGGAGTTTATTGACCTCATCCAGTAAAAATCTTTCAATATCTCTGCTTTGGAACCTCAGGAGAGCTCAAGAAAAAAGATGGAACTAGTCCTTAAATTATATAAGGAATAGCCATGGCACTTCCCACCCTTCAGTTTAACCCACTGCAACTAGAAATCTCAAAATTAAACAAGAAGAAGAATAAAGAATCTGCAGAGGTCTCTGAACTGATTCAGCATATTGGTATAAGAGTAGCAGGGGAATGTGTTTATTTAATTCTTTTTTCTCTCCTTGGCCTTCCTGCTGATCAGTTTGTCACCTGCAGGTTGCTAGTAGCTCTACTTGGGTGATGGCAGGGAGACAGATCAGGTACTATTATTATTTGCAGTTTACCATTCCCTACCCTCATGGAACTAATAACAGATCTCAGGATGAGGTTTTGTTTGAGAAAATGAGTGGGAGAGAATGACTTAAAACACCCCTTCCATCAATGCCATTGTACTAATTTAGTTCACATTCCCTGCAACTGCTTTTAAGCTGACCTTTTGGGGGAAAAAATAGGTGATCATAGATTTTCTGCATGATTGAGAGTTTTAATAAAGTGTCTGGACTATAAAGGTCAAACTTCTATTTAGCACAGGAATATCTCCTGGCATCAGATTAGACAGCTTGTAGTGAGCTTTACCATACAAGAGCACCTGTATGGGGCCGTGTGAGAGCTGAAAAATAACCTGGTTCTGCTTTGTAAGTCATAATATTTGTCTGGGCCCTGTCTTTATTTCACATAGCCAAATGTCTTTGCAACCTCTTAGTTACAAAAATCAAATATTAAGGATCTTAATATACTTAGGATGTTCATAAAATCAGTCATAACTAAATCCCATTACTTAAAAATCTGTCTTAGCAGTAAGTAATTGACCATGTTAGTACAGTAGATTCATTTCAGTCAAACCCAGAGTTTATTTGAAAAAATCAAAGAGGCAATGGTGAACAGTAGCATTAATATAAGTGAAGTACAACTGACTTTTCATTAACAGAGAACAAATAATGATCCATTGAAACATCTTGCAGACATTTCCAGAAGTGATCCTCCAGTACTTCCCAGATACAATGTATATTTAGGTTTTTCATTTTACATGCAACCAAAGACAATAGCAACAGATGCTGAAAGAGCTCCAATGTGGGGGATTGTTTCAATGCTGATTTACTTATTTTCAGCAGTTTAAAAAAAGATTTCTGCATTGCACCATTGAGAAAGGATCAGAGAAAATGTCTTGGGTCAGAATGAGAGATGGACACAAACCAATTTGGCCGTTCATGCTGGCTCGTTTCTTGGCTGAAGAGGAGTTCGGTGATTCCCAGCTCCACCTCCTCTGGAGGGTGCCCACTTGGAGTGCCCAGAGGAGGTGGGGCAAGGAAGCTGGGGCGCTGCCTCTGAGTGGGCACCCACTGGAGAAGGCAGGGTTTACAAGTGTAAGTGTAGAGAAGGTGAAGTGGGGGAAATCAAATGTCCAGCGCTTCAGCCATCCAATCTTACAGGATCTTCCTGGAAGCTTCCCATTATCTCCTCAAACGTTTTCTCTATTATTATTATTAT